CAGCAACAGATCTCTTCACAGCCGATTAATGACAAGATGGGGATGTTGATATTAGTTATGCCGGTATTAAATATTTTTATTGTAAATTTATACAACTAACAAATATTAACACATTCATCCTATTTGTATTAGATAGCAGATATTTTTGTTTTTAGAGAGTAAATTTTTCAAATCTATAATATTCACTTTTATGTAAACTGAAAATATGTACAATAGTAATGGATCTATGATAACCTTTCAAATTTTATTAAGCCAGACACATGTTCCTAAGTCTCTCTCATCTTTTATATTCTGATAACAAAACATTACTCTATCGATTCTATATTGTGTTTGTTGAGATAACACACCCTTTCATCGAGAATCATAAACATAGTCGCATATCGTTGTATTTTAAACCGATAAAAATGTTGGTTGACTACGTTTTCCTTATAGAATTTTTTTTTGCCTGGGAAAAAGAAAAATTTAATTACCTTTGCCGAATCCTTAGAAAATGAATTTTCATGTTTATTAAGGGATAATCAAGTGATTAGATATCTCATTATTCAATCTCATATATTTCATGTAGTAGAATATCCATTTACAAGTACATATTGTTTTAACGTTCGTCATTAAAGCAGGAATTCATCTGAATGATTGCAATGAAAGTCTCTTGCAAATATTCTCTTCTTCAATTTAACATCTTTTTATTAATTTGTAGTCCTCTTCTACTTTGTTTCAAAAGAAAATTGTTATTCAATTGAGATAAACATTACTATCAATCCTAGACTTATTATTCTATTAATATTTAACATATCAGTTAACTGCAAATAACAACCAGATGAATGTTGATTTTTATTTATTAATATATACGATGCATATAATAAAAACAAGATCAGTTTAATGCTTTTGTTAACTGTGTTAGAATTTTCAGATGATTGATAAAGACTAGACTAAACAAATATCTTTCTTCTAAATACTTTGATAAACTATTGTCTTGTGCTATGCTACAGAAAGAAAGAATCAATTTTTCTTATTGTATTGAAAGAATTCCGTCTTTTTTATGTTTTTTATTGATTGTGGAATTTGTGATGAAAGTGATAGGATTCGCGCAGTTTTCCTTTTCTAATCACAAACAAATTTAATATTTTGATAGTTAAGGTAAGTTTTTCTCTATTTAAGAAGGTCTAAAAATCAACATGAATATTAAATAACTGGATTCGAAATCAAAAATTGAACAAAAATGAAAATAAAATCATCTATAAATCGATGTTTTATTTTATCGCTTTGATACTAGAGATTATAGAAACAAATCTAGATGATCAAATTAATAACTCATTCGAAATGGAAGACGCACTAGATAAATATAATTTGTTTGTAAATGATTTTATTTGTTTCTCAAGTACATGAAAATAAACAGTTTTGAGCATTCATTGTTGCCATGGCGTTTTATCATTGGTTATTAAATCATTTCATTTCTATGTAAATTATAAATATGAATTAAGAGAACAAGAAATTTAAATTAGTATCTCTACAAAAACTTAATTAGATTGATTTCTGTTATTCTATAGATAACAAAACTAATGTGTTAAAGATATTTTTCAATACGTTGAAGTCTATTTGTTCTAAATGGCGCAAATATGTTAGTGCTCAATCTGTTTTTTTTTGCTGAATTCAAAAATTCTAGAAATTCAATGCAGGTCTATAAGATCAATTTCGTATTCATTCACTGAGCTTATTTTTACTCGTTAAGAATTCTTCGCTTAGTTTTTCTTCATAAAACTTCAGAGAAATATATCTGATCAATCCTTTTATAGAGAATTTGACTTTGAGATTTACTGAAAAAACAAACAAATCTGAAGGTTGAAAAGGAAAAGTTATAGTCGAAGTACTCAGAAGCTCATTTTATTAGCTCATCTATTGTTCACTCATTAATCTATATCAATTTAATGCTATAAAATACTTAAGTTAAATGTCTTTATAAATTACATAACAAATGTTACAATCACTTAAAAAACGGTTGAAAAGTAATGTTCGAATAGTAGTCCTACGAATAAATTTTCTCTTTGAGAACTTTGAAGATCCAACGAATGGAATGGAACATCTGCTAACAAATGAACCTTACTTTTCAAAATCTTACACTTCAACAAAAGATTTTATTCCCACAAAAATACGTATCTGTCTATGTTGTATGGTTTGATAACGATGAACTTGTTTATGAGGTTTATTTATTCAGAATGTAAACGGTTAAAAATTGAATATCTAAGTTAGATACAGAGTACATATCTGAAAAAAAAAAGAACTGAATCTTTTTCTTTGATCCAAATATGAAAAACTAAGAAACGATGTTCGTTTTTTAGGATTACATTGATAGAGATGTTTACAAAATCAAATGTTATTTTAACTTTCATTGTCACAAAACACATATTCAAACGCTAAATGGTTTCATGGTGTTTCTTTTCGAAATTATTAATATTATAATAAGCTGTTACTTTAGATTCGTAAATCTCTAAATGGTTAATGTCAATCGACGTCATATGTTTTTTTCAGCAGTGTCACATATCCAAGATTTTGGAGATGCCACTACGTCTTCCGCGGGAGATGCCGCATCTCGCGCGAGAGATGTGGGTGTGGGTGTGGGGGATGCGCATCTCTAAAGGAGATCTTACATCTCCAGTGGTGAATGACTACATCTCTCGAGTGTGGGTGTCGCGTCTCCCGCTGGAGACGCGGCATCTCCCACGGGAGATGTGGTGGCATCTCCAAAATCTTGGATATGTGACACTACTCGTTTTTTTATATTAATATAATACATTTTTGCTGTCTGTTTTCGATTTCGATGTAGAATGCACAGAATTAAACAATTTCAAACATTTTCTTTCTTTAGAGTTAGCATTATTTTTAATAAATTCAAAAAAAGAAATAATCGATTGTAACAAAATTTATGTCAATTTCAAACTTTTAATTGGATGTATTACATTTTTAATTTTTCAAAATTTCTTATTAGTAACTTACCAAGGCTTGAAAACTTCGAAAGAAATGATCGTTCCATTCGATGAATTGATGGAATGAGTTTAAATGGAAAATAATTGGATTCTTTCAATTATTATCATAGAGATTTGAGTATGCTTTTTAATTTCAACTATAGATGTACGTGTGGGTGAGAGCTTGAAGTATGCATACCGATGTACTTCTTTTTTCTAAGATTTGTCCACCGAGACAATTTTGGGGTGTGGGTGCTGTTCGTCCCTTCAAGCACATCCATACCTACACCCTAGACCTTAAAGAGACGAAGGAAAACATTTTCAGTTTTATTATAACTTTCGAGCTTTTCTACAACTTGAACATTGGTCTACACTCTTGATATTGTTTTCCTCAAGTGTTATATAAATTATTTCTCTTGTAATATGTGAAACAAAATATCCTATCGTTAAATGCAAATGCTTTTCATTCTTATAATGAGATTATTTCAAACAATTTTCATTTCAAAATATATGTCTAAAAATATTTAACAATGGGCAAACATCTATTCTGACATTTAATGAAATTCGAAAAGGTTTTCATATAAATGTTCAAGAGAAACCACAACAAATCTTGTATCTGCAAATATCGCATTATTTCCAACACCCACACTCAATCGAAATAAAGACTATACTGACAATAGTTTGACGAAAGATTTGAATAGATGAAAAAACAAAAAAGTATTGAAATAATTTTTTTAATGAAAGCTAAATAGTATGAAGAAAGAGGTTCTTTTATCTGTTCGACAATTTGTATAAAAGACAAAAAAATAATTCGTTATATATTCATCCTACAATTGATAATTCAGGCGCAAATTACTTGTAATCGTCTCAAACTAAATCAATGAGTTCAATGAAAAAAATGCACAATCGTTGAGTACTATGATCAACTACTAAATTCATATGTTTATTTTTCATTTGGATTTGTTATTATCATCTCTCAAGTTGACATGTATGGAAAATAGTACTTTACTCTGAGTGTATGATGTAACTTCACAGGCAGTGAACCTTTAGGTACCTACATGAATATATCTATTTCACTGATCAATATGACAACATTCATGAGATTTTAATTAAACTGAAGAGATTTTATTAAAAATATCTTTTACAATTTAAGATTTTCAATAAAGAAAACAATTCTATTCTTTCTTGTATTTCCTCCGTTCTGATAATTCAAATGATGTCAACACCTAAAGTATTTCAGTGGATAATCGCAACAAATGATTTATTGATAAATTTCGAAAAAAAAAATTACTATTGAAGGGCAAAAGCACGGCATTCTTCTTATCTTTATCCATTACTTCAAATTACGTTCAAAAGAAAGTAGAACATGTAAAAACGATAGTGCTTATAAAATCTAGTTCAATCACTCTGTCAATTACGATATTATTATGGAGTGATTATGTATATTTTGATATTGATGTCTTAAATCTAGTCGACTATGGAAAACTACTCAGAGAATCCAGAAAGATTATTCCTTGAACACTATAGCTGCCTATTTAAAATGTATTAAATGAACAGGTTTTTGTCTATAGAGAGATCTCGAAAATTCAAAAAAAAGAAGTCATGTATGCTGCATTATCAACTCTATAGTTTTGCGAGGAATTCATGGCTCTGAAGCATATACCTCAGCATGCCTTTTTTTTATCATACTCATCAGTCATTCTTAAAATTTTTCAATGTAATTAAATACATGTCATTGACAATTTTTTGTATATATTAAAAAAAAAAATTTGCGATAGCTACAGAACATGCCTAATATCGAAAATATTCTTAATTTCATGCAATTATCATTCATATTAAGATCAAGAGAATTGTCTTATCCTAGAAAAACTATTCTCAGATATTACGAAGCTTTTTCCTCAACAACAACAAAAATAATTAATATAGGAGGATGAAACAAAGTTTCATGAGTAGAACTATTTCAATATATGAAACATATTTCAACTGATAGTGAATTCTCATAGACAAAGATGATCTTTTAGATGTTCATATTGAGATCAATCAATTAGTTTTTGCAACGAAACGAGAAGTTTCGATATCAAAACGAACAATAAAAACACTATTTGTCGATTCATTGATAAATTTTTCACTTGAACGATTATCAACATAAGCTTTCAAAACAATTCCGCGAATTATATTTTTGACAATATGTTTCTGTATTTTTCATACGAAAAATTTCAAAATCCTTTATATATAAAAGAAGACAAAAAAATAAAAATTGTTTTTCTACAGTTACTATTCGCATGTTTTTTCTTTTGAAGTTTGAATGGAAAAACAATCGCTAACTGAGAATTTGAATTTAAGTGTATTACTCATTCGTTTTTCCTTCAATTTTAATGTATTTCTTTTCTGTTTACATAGAAAGCAATTATCTTCTCAAACAATATTTCTTCTTCCTATCATTCAGTAACAAGCACACGACATACGAATCGTCCTTATACATTACACTTGAACAACGAGAGAAATGAACGAAACCGTCGATCACATATCGTTTTAAAGTTGAATTTAATCAAACAGATATGTGTACAGACGAACAATATGTCGTGTGCTATTTCACGTACGATATGTTTTCTTCAACACTTCAACTCTATCATAATTGAGACATGCATAAATAAAAACAGTTCTGTGTTGTCAGAATAGTCATGTAGTCATCATGGAAACGATAAAAATAATCAGAAAATTACATATACTAATAATACCTATTTCAATTAGTAAACTGTTTGTTCGTCATTGATCAAGATTTTATCTGAAGATTTGGAAGAATATTCATGCTAATGAAAAGCAGATGACGTTCAAAATTCAAGCTTACTTATGGGTCTCCAGCAGCAATTGATAGTTTGAGATTGTGAAAAAAATTCAATTTAACGAATATTTATGCATATTGTTTTCGAAAAACTTGTATGATTGTTTCTATTAATATTTATCAAACTCTTTTTTTTTAAATGTTAACTTGAATACAATTTCAATATAGTCTGTTACATAAGGAAAATTTGGTTTTTTTTGGTTGGACCGAAATTTCTTTTTATTGTCTGAAGTATTTTATAAGAAAAGAAGGTGATTGAAGACATGATATATAAGATGATGTTGAGTAAAAATCAGTAATTCTAAAAATTCATTTTTTGCAACAAGAACGTTTTTTTTTTCTTGGAACTAAATTGTTCTTTTTTATTTTATTGAATTTATCGAGAGATATTTACGGAGGACATAGTGATAGAATGAGTTTTTTAAAAATTTCAGAAGCAAGAACCGAGTATAGATGCAAACAAAATTTTCTGTTTTTTTGAAATACCATTTTTCAAAAAAGAATCATTATTGATGTTGATGTAAATATGTATCTGCTATCATCATGAGTATATTTAAAAAAAAGAAAATGGTTATTTAAATCTATATTCAATTCTATAAAAGCTATTCACATATTTGAACTTGTTCCAACTATCTTCACCATAGTCGAAACAAAACTAAGTCATGATGAATTTATTCGTTGTATTAGTGCTTTCACTGATAGAAATTTATTTTTTTGTCTTTCGTGCTTTTAGAATGTCATGATTCGATCAAATTCTTTTACCAGATTAGATTCTAAAAACAGAACTCCACAACATGAAAAGAAAGAAAAAAAATTGAAAAAAACTGTCATCAAAACAACAAAAAAATGTGCTTATTGAAGAAAAAACAAAAGCATACATTCTTTTTTTCTTTCGTTTGTCACCTATTTTTCAAGGATATTTTACATTCTTGACATACGAAACTTTTTTTATCAGAGACGAAAACAAAACCCCAAAGAACATAATGTTTAAGTTTTGTCAGATACGTTTCTAGATACTGTATATAAATCGTCATAGAAAATCAATGTCTTTATTTCATTTTAGGTTTATCTGACTGAAACAGATACAAAATGAAAACTTAATTTTTAATCCAGAAGATAACATGACATTATTTGTTTGTTGAAATCAAATAATAGGTTGGAATTTATTTAACGAAAAGAAAATCATTTTATCAATTTTCTGTCGTTTACTTGGAAAAGAAAATAGTTATATTATTATCATCGTTGAAGAATCTAACTTTTCAGTGTAATCTCAATGACTTGATAACAGCAATAGCCAGTTGCTTGTTCCTTTCACAACCATTGAACAAAGAGAACTCTATTAGAAGTCTTTTCATCTGATAGTATTAAAGAGAAAACTACTTTGTAATCTATACTCCTTGTAAACAATTTAAAAACATACATGAGAAAATTGTTTCATTTCAAGTAAATTTTAATGACAAAAATTTGTGCGAAGTTGTTCGATTTAATGTTCTACACTAACGATCTATTTTGAAAATCATCCTACAGTACATAGCATGAGATAAAACAATGTCCGATAGAGTTCTCCTCTTTCGACTAGTGAAATTTCTGGGTTACTATGTGTTTTTGTTGAGGAGTTATTGTATATCTGGCGATGACTCTTGTTTTCGGACACACATTAGTTATTAGTTTTAAGCCAAAAACTTAAGCGTCATTGTTGATTAGAGTTATCAAAACTCAAGATTACATTTTACAGTGCAGAATTTGATTTTCATAAATAATATATCCTTATATTTGATGTGCATCAATAAAGACGACAAGCACAAGATGATCTGTTGTACATATCCACAATTGTTGTTTTTTCATAAATGATCTAACTAACGAGTATTATATATATATATATTAATAAAACGATTATTTTATTTTTTAATTCAAATTTTATTATGCATCGTGTTAAAATGAAAGAAAAGACTTTATTATATATGTACTTTTTATTTATAGAAATTTTGCTCTTATAATATAACTGAAATTGAGAGCTGATTGTGAATGTAGCAAATAATTATTAAATTTATTATGTCTTAAATTAGAAAAGTCTTTCAATCAATCCTATATACTTATTTTCTTATAAGACCTTATTTAATAAGTAAGAGAATTTGTTTTTCTTGTATGGAATCCTATTGAGAAGCATAAAAATCGATCAAAATATGTGAATATTAATCGAAATAGAATGTGAAAAAATGATTTCGTAATTCTAAATAAAAGTAGAGGAAAATTGAACATCTTTTTTTTTCTGGATCAATCTATTAGTTGTAGAGATATACGTGAAAAGATTTTTATTTTATCAACATCATCCACTTATTAATCGTTTTCGACAAAAAAATATATAGATTTTGTTCAAAAGTTTGTTCAAGTTTAAAAGAAAAGTATTTTTCTTGGAAATGAAAATTTAATTATTTACACAAAATAACTATGACATTTGTTAATTATATTTCGTAGAAAATAGATATTATATGGAACAGATTTTTATTAATCGAAGAATAAATATTAAGATGAAATAATAATTTAAAATACTTCTAAATATTTGTCTCAATTAAGAATTATTTTATGAATATATAAAGAAAAATATTTATTCTACGCGAGGAATTCTAATACTGCATAGTAACCTAGAGGAAACTTTCTTTTTTATTTGGAGTGATAGTAAAATGAAAACTCTATTTTCCTATGAGATATTTATATTAATGCTCATTTAAAACAGAAAGACTAATGAGTATTTTTTGAATAACTTTTCATAGAAATAAGGTAGAAAGATGCAGTGTTCACTCTTCCACAGACTAGATGACGACACATGGAATGGTATATTTTTCTCTTAGATTTAAAAAGAGGTGCTGTGAAAAATGATATCTTTTTTTATTTTTGAGCATCAATGTTAATGTAACCATCAGATATCATAATAAAATGTAAAAAAAATATATATATTTAAAATTTTCCCTTTTTCTATTCTTTATCTCTATTTCAGGATATGCAGTGCATGAGTTATTACTCAAATTGACGGCGAATGTATTGTTTTTATTCGCCGTTTCATACAAACATCGTTCATTTGCTACAATGGTGAGTGCACGACATGCAAGTTATCTTTACACATACGAGATGAAAACACAGACGAATTGAACATGAAATGTTTAAAGACGACAAAGATATCGTGCACTTAATATTTCATTGCTTGACAAACACCGGTTGTTATCATGCGCTGCGTATTATCATTCCATAACGTCGTCTTTCATCGCGTCTTTCCGTTTCTACTTCTTCTTGTTTTTCGTAACAGAAGAACAAAAATAATTTTCTAACTAATGGAGCTTTTGAGGGTGGCTCTAAAACAAATGAACCTTCCCAGGGATATCCGACGTTCTGTTGGTGACCCGTGCAGGCGTGCAGATGGTAGGCCTTCATAGCATACATCAATGTATGTATGAATAGAAGCGTCCATTTCGTCATCGTCTTTTCGAAGATGATGATCATGGTCGTACTATTCATACATACATCGATGTATGTTTGCCTAACCATTGCCGGCTTTGTCCACTGTACGAGCCAGCAGAATACGGAGGGTATCTCTGGTCGCGCGTGCGCGAAATTTTGCAGCTGCTTGCTTCGGCGAGCTTAGATTACAAGATGGCCAATTTATTTTCTCTTTAAAATCAAAAAAAAAGACAATTACATTTGCTTTTTTACATTTTCAATGTTTCTTTTCGACTGCGCAATGTCGGGATGATTGGACGGAAGTGATTTCTGTCGTATCTCAAGTGCTTTTTGCAGAAATGAGAGTGCTTTTGAGTACTCGCCCATGTTTTTATACACTATACCGATGTTGTTGTAGGAAGCAGCGAAGTCGGGATGATTCGGAGGGAGAGCTATTTTACGGATTTCAAGTGATCGTTCATACGATGAAAGTGCTTTTGAGTACTCGC